AAATCACAGGCATACACGCATGCACACCCATGCACATACATATACATATACATACATACATACATACATGCATGCATGCATACATACATACATACATACGTACGTACGTACGTACGTACGTACGCACGTACGCACATACACACATACGTACATACATACGCACTTACCTACCTACTACACGTACATGGAGACACAGACATCACAAGATCCGCCGACAGGAGCATAAGGTGGGTTTGGAAAACATCGAGCAGGGTTTGCACAAGTATTTCGCAAGCATTCTGCTTGGAAAGCATTAGAGCAGACCCGGTGCTTTCTGGGAGGCCAGTCCTCTTTAGAAGTCTTCCAAGATCTTGTAAACAGAGGGACCTGGACATAGACATAGACATTTACATACGGCATGCGTGCATACATACATACGTATACACGATCATACATACATAGGTACATACGTTCCTACATACATACGTGCACACAGACACATACGTGCATACATGCACATCTGCACTCCTCGATTGTTTGTGTGTGTGTGTGTCTGGTGGGGAGCGTGGGTATGCATGAGCGCAAGCATGCATGTCCTGCTTTTTCAGGCTGGCACTGTTCTTTGCTTTACCTTGCAGCGCTCCGACGAGGGCAAGTCGCTGGGGTGGGGCACCTGCACCTTCGCCGCTTCACCGAACTTATTGTGAGGAGGCTGGGGCATGACGACGAATTGCAGGAATTCGGGGCCGGGGGCTGGGCACGGAATGTAGGCCGATCCTTCCTTCTTGCTGTCAACATGTACCTCCATCCCTTCCAAGCAGCAGGCTCCAGTTTTCGTTGTAGATGCCTTGCAGCAAGGCAGTCCGAGTGCACATCCTGCAGCGACGTTAGTCTTGCTGGCATGCAAGATTTGTGCCCTGTGCAGATTCTGAAAGCCCTAAGGCTCTGTGCCCTGGATCTGGTCCGCAACAATCTCTTGAGTTGAAGCCCAGGATGGTGAAGCCGTCGCACGCCGCGCCATCGAGCGTTTCAACGGCGCCTGGGTGGACAACCGGAGGCCAGGATTTTGGCTTCTGTGTCAGACGATGTTGCGGGATCTCCAGGCCTTTCGAAAGTCCTTTGGAGGTCTAAGCATTGCAAGTAGTCCCGGTGCACCATGATCGTCCCGGCCCTGGAGACCCTTAACAGCCACGATCGAGGTCACCTCAGACCCGGGAAGCACTAAAGTAAGTTGCCTTTGCCCGCGTCCTTGCTCTGAACCTAGACAAACCTGGAACATCCTGAACCTACAAGCTGCGGCCTTGCAGCTCAGATCAAGCCTGACCCCACCTCTGGCCGAAACTTCCAAACGCTGACTCAAAGCTTCGACCTGGTGCAAGGATTCAGCTCGAGCTGGACTTCCGGCACAGAGAGGGAATCTGCCAGTTTGGTTCAAACTCGGGTTTTCGGATCTCGAAGTGAAAGCAGAGCCCTGGCTGTAAGTTTGAATCGATACTCCCATTTCCACAGCCCAGTGTTGTGGCCTAACTTGGAAATAGGATTCTTCCTGGAACCAGCTGCAATGTCGTACTGGTATGATAGGTTGTGTCTGGATGAAGAACAGGGTTCTGCGTGAGGGAGTCGAGCCTGCCACGCGCGAAGTATGGATGTTGTGTGTCGCTCAAGAGCCTGTCTGCAGGACCCGAATCCGCCAAAGCAGCTTGGTGGCACCCGAGGCTTTCAGGGGCTTCAGGCAGAGCCTGTCTTCCGTGGCCTTCTGCTCGAAACTAGGCATCGCGGTTCTTAGACACTTCTGGTCTACAGGTGCTGAAGTCTCACGAAGGGCTTCAGACAGAAGCCACAGAGACCGCCAGTACCATCAGCTCCATCTCACATTAGTCTCGAATGTCGAACCAAAATACTGCAAGCTTCAGCTTCCGACGCTTAACCCTGGAGCTTCCGAGGAGCTTCCTGTCCTGTGTGTTCTTCCACAACGTCACGTGGACGACGACTGCGGCAGAGCTGAAGAGAAAGTTCGGTGGCTATGGCACTGTGGAGGACTCCTGCCGAAGTCCAGCTTTGGGTCCCGGAGGATGCTTGAACGCTTCAGACGCTTTGTGGGCTTGAACTTGAGGTTTGGAGCCTTGGCTTCTGCGCATAGCATATATTATAAGTTTATATAGGAGTAGAATCACGAATTTTCCGACCGCAAACCTCCCCGTAGCTAAGAGCACCACACACGCACCAGGAGTTCGAGCTACGGGTGAAGCCCAACGGCCGGTCTCTGGGGATGGGAACCTGCAGGCCACTCGGCCTCCAGAGTTCAAGGCTTGGGGTCACCTGGCTTTTCGAGCCTGAATCTCGAAGCGCCATACTGGCAAGTCTGTGCTTATGCCTTCGGGGTTCAGCAGCGATTTTGGAAGCTTGTGGCTTGGAGCTGTTCTGGCCAGGTTCTCCTGCTCCAAGGAGGCCAAGAACGCCATCGCCAGCCTCGATGGGCAGATGCTGCACGGCAGAAGGCAAATGGGCTCTCAGTGGCACGGCTGTTTGCGAGGGGCTTCGGGGCTTGGGATGGGAGAGGTTTTCGGTTGAACGCTGGCCAGCATGGGGCTGGAGCTTCGAAGAGAAGTTGGCCATAGACGCCTACATTAGGTTGCATCCTGTTATCCGGACAAGCCATCATCTGCCAGTTCTCCCGACATTCGGTCGGCGTGAAACAGCCACTTCGAGCCAAAGAAAGAAAATGATAACCCGGAAGCAGGCTCTACCTTTGCCGCTACGACCCGATTGGAGCTGGTCGAGTGCAGGCCGTGTCCAAGTTGTGGAGCAGGGCTTCCACGAAACCCGCCTTGGCCCTCAGGCAAGCCGCCCCTGGGAGAACTGCGAGCCTGTGGGAGCCTTAAGTCTTAAGTCAGAGAGTCCCAGAGCGTATGCCGGCTTGAGGAATGCGGACATCCTGCTAGGCCAAGCAAAGCATATGCCCCACTAACCCGGGACCACCAAATCAGGCAGAGGTCAAGGAAGAAGATGACAGTGACGTGGAAAACCAATGACCACGCAACTCCACTGGAGGACTTCCTGGACTGGGTTTGGCCTGTTACTGTTCGCACAGCTAGGCCATAGACAGGGGCCTGCAGACGCCTTGGGAGTTGCGAACATGTCTTATGATGTCTTATGCTGCCTCACAGCCAGAAGCCACTTCCGATGCGGTTCTCGACTGGTGCCACAAGAGTTGGGCGGGTTTGGGTTGAGGGTCGACCACGTTCACACAAACTCAGCGTTGTCGCGTAGGGGCGTAGACTTATGGGGAAGCTGTCTCTCCGCACACCACACATGTGCTCGCCCTGCAAGGGCCTTGCTCTCACTTCGTCGAAGAGATTGCTTCACTTTCAACAGAGCCTTCTTGCCGAATCTGCCGGGACAGATGTTCTTTGTCCCATAGAATAGGTTCACTAGCGAAGGTTTTGGGTTACTTGGGGAAATTTCCTCAAGCGTGTCCCATTATAGGCTCCGACTGGCAGAACATGCACTTGCCAAAGCGGAGAAACGGCGAGCGGAGCTCATGACTGACCTGTTACGCCACAGCATGAGCATGGAGGATTGCACCTGCTGCCGTCACGTGCAACCAGTGCTGAGTCACTACTGTACGGTGGACTGGAGCACTTCGTGCCTGTTGTATGATAATGTTTGCAACTGTGTGTCGGTTCGACTTGTCCTGCCTCTGCTAAACCGGACTCTTTTCAGCTCCTCAAGGCAGGATAATATCGTGGCATGTCGTGCATTTCTTCTTGGAGTGATATTCTCTCGACGATGTACATTCGACATTCGAAAGGTCCCTTGAAACACTGTGCTAGACGTGTGCTCGGAGCAGCTGCTTGTGCTTGTTGCTGCTGCTGCTGCTGCTGCTGCTGCTGTTGCTGCTGCTGCTGCTGCTGGTGTTGTTGTTGTTGTTGTTGCCGCTGCTGCTGCTGCTGCTGCTGCTGCTGCTGACGGATGGTGAACACTCGCGGTTTATGGGTCTGCACGTTACCAGACTGGGTCCTTGCATGGCAGGTCGCTGCTCGTGACTTCAGCAACGAGCCGAGGCTGGTGTTGCATTCTGCTAGGAATCGCTAGGCAGATTGGCCGATAGTGTCGTTCAGAAGTGACTTCTATCGGGTGAAGCGGTACCTTTGACCAGCAGAAGTTGTCCTCGCCCCTCTCTCTCGTGCCTGAGGTATTGGACGTAAGAGGTCAACTGCATCCTTAAACTCCAATTTCGGCGGCATGGCCTTGACTTTACAACCTGTAGCCTGTGGGTCTGCTCCAGACTCCGAGCTTTCTATTTCTGTGTGCTCTCAAATCTTCCTTTTGCAGACGTTCGAGGCGTGTGGGGACTGGATGCCTTGCTGCGCTGCCGCTCGGCGGAGGGCGCGGTCTCGCCGCTGCTCCTGCAGGTTCCCTGAAAGAAGTTCTTGCAGCTATAGCTGCATCTAGCGTTCAGAAAACTTCCAAGCCCTGTCCCGACTGCATCGACCAGAACAGATTTTTTCCCGGGATTTATGGGTGAAGTGGATGTGAAGATCGAGCTTGTTTGGAACGAGTTTCGGGAGTGGCTAGGGGTAAGGCCTTCGAGGCGTTCGCGGTGGGAGGCTGTACCAAGCCGAGCCTAGACAGGGCGGCTTCAGACAATTAGGGACAGAAGCTTTTTGGAAAGTTTGGGATATCGGAGCAAAGAGTTCGGGTTTGGTGCGGTGTTCGTGGAAATGGCTTGGGGTCTTGGCCACACTCTTTGAGCGCGGAGCCTGCGGATTTCCTGCGGCACCATCCGTCGGGAATTCCGGTACCTGCAATGCTCGAGTCGTGTACCTGTTGGCAATCTGTTTTATGTGCCCGACTATGTCGGTTGGCGTCCCGGTCATCTTCAAAGGCACCGTCCTCTCGGTTGTTGCATTGTACCAGATTAGACGCAGTCGAGGTATTACTGGGCGTTCGGTGGTGGTGTTCCCGGAAAAACTCGAACAAGGAAGGAATTCGAAAGGAAGGAAAACAGTTTTGGCTTTCTCGAATGGGGGGTCTTGTGCCAGCCGCCCCTTAAGTTGGTCCTTGAGTCGAATAGTAAGGATGCATGCTTGGAGAGAAGAACCGAGGACGACCAAATCAAGCAGAAACACGAACTGTGACCAGACTCACAATAATCAACATCAACAGCAATGAACAGTTCCCAAAGAGTACCTCTCAAGCAGCCAATAGAAACCGCGAGAGAGAAGAAACACAGAACCAGAACAGAAAGAAGGAAGAAAGGAAGGAAGAAGGAAGGAAGAAGGAAGGAAGGCAGGCAGCTACGAAGGTAGGTGGGAAGGAAGGTCGGGAGGAAGTGGGAAGGAAGGACGGACGGACGGAAGGCAGGGAGAAGCGTGAGCTTGATCAGCATGTCGATGCATGTCGGATCGACTGATGCCTCAGCTTCAACACCGACTCAGACGTCGATCCGAGTACCGATAAAAACTTAACACAACGTTTCGCTGGGAGTCATGCCCTCCAAACCTGCACTTTAAATACAGCTTTCAAGAAGCAGGCTCTTGCATGGAGCAGCTTCAGGGCCAGCAGGACAGCTTTGGAAAAGAGAGCCTCTGTCCCCGTGGCGTGGCATGTTGCTGGTGCGAGGCGTCAGCGTTGTCTGCCACCTGCACTTTCTTAGCGTCCATATTCATCATTTCTCCACAGGTTGGAGCTTCCTCTAAGAACATGTTGTCTCGCCGTGTGGCGTTGGAGTACTGACTGGGTAGATGTGGAAATCGAGTCGCAAGACGGAAGTCGTCCCAATCCTGCTGTGCCCTGCGGGAACGTGGAAAACCGTGATACCATGTCACATGGGCGGTGTTCTCGCATGCTTGTGAGGGGTGTGGCATTATCGGGTAAGACCACCCACCATCAAACGGAAGCTGAGCTTTCCCTGGTGCATATGGCGTTACTCGCCTTAGTGGGCTGGAACAATGGCCTCTGGGATGACTTCTGCACACATGTGGTGAGTCATGTGGCATGCAGTTGGATTGGCTTCTGACTTGTGGGATGACAAACAGGCCCGCTCGTAGCTTGGTGCTGCATCGTGCGTTCCGCCTCGTGTTTGTCGCATGTGCAAGGTAACGTGTTTCATGTTGCAAAAGGAGCCATTAGCCAGCAGGCAGTCACAAAGACTTGGTGTTCCGGCTTCTACGGTGTCCAGATGTGTCCAGGTCCGAATCTTGTGGTGCTTACAACCCTTGTGGTGGTATTCCACAGGAAGACTCCAGAGAAGATGCCAAACAAATCATCACGCAACTCAGCCGCCCAGCTTCCACCTTTGGCCACATGCTCGATGGATCTGTGGGGTGGCAGTGCTTTTGGCATAAAATTCTTCGCATGAGTTTGCCACCATGGCGGACATCCAGCTCAATATCAACCGTTGGGATCAACAGCATTGACACCGGCCCGAAGCCGCGTATCCGCTGTCCAGACACGGGTGGTATGCAAACAGCGGTTTTGAGGTGAGAAACAGAATGCCATCAGCAGCATCCGTGCATGCAGCAGCTTTACGCACCAATTCAACATCATGTTTTCCCCCGACACGCCGTGCGTGATTGTCAAAAAGATCACTTGAAGGACTGTAGAGTGAATTGGTGTGGCAACATGAGTAGTATGAGACGCTGGCTTGACGTGCCCGAAATGCCGCCGCACCTCAACTCGGCCACGGCCCGCAGCCGAGCCGGAAGTATAAGTGCTTGGTTCTGAAAGGGAGACAGTCAGCGACACGCAACCCAGCACATCCCGATGTCTAGTTGTTCTTGCCAATCTCGTGCGCGAAGAAGATATTCCACATGCATGGTGTTTGATCGCATTTTCGAGTTGCGACCAGGAGGCGGAAGGAACGCACATAGGCTATTGTGGCGGAATATATCCCAGACCATGAGAAAATCGACGCGGAAACCAATTAGGCCCGAAGAGCGTGTGCTGTACCTCGGTTGGCACAGCTTTTGCTTCCGCAAGCAATATGCTCCACATATCAGCATGAGCAAGTTCAGCAGCGGTAGCACGATCCAGGCATGATAGGGAGTGGCTGGGAGCCTTGCTCAATTGCAGATCAAGCCTCAAAGAAGACGAGCGTCGCACGGCATCCACCTTCATGCCCAGCCTATGAAACAAAATCGGTGAATCATTGTTTGGTGCAGTGGTCGGGAGGATGGTCGAAACATCAATTGCCCGAGAGTCACCGAGCAACTTGCCACATGTAGGACAGTCGTTGATGGCATCATTAGACTGATGGACCATCACAGACCATTACCACTTGCTTGTGAGGCGCATCTCGTTTGCACAGGGCGTCATGTTGTCATGTTTCCGTGTGCGACGCCGCAAATTGGCCACCAGCTTTCATTGAAAGAGTAAAATCCGAATAGCTTCGCACACCGGCACACGCACGATGTGTGGGAGGAACTTGTGCCAAGGACGAGCGTGCATGCAGCATCGAATGAAAAGTGGCCTGGGTATCGTGTGATTCCCCGCCCTGCTGTCGGCTTGCGCTGGAAAACAACCACGTTGTTGCAGTCATGAACAGCTTGATTGATCTTGAAAAAGCTTCGCCCGATGTTCCACTTCCTGCAAAAACTAGTCACGTTGACAGCTGAGAAGCAACACGTGTACAAGTTGATCAGTGTTCCTTCCCGAGGAAGGTGTTGCGAAGCCCGTGGCACGATTGAACGTCACAAGCCTTTGTTGTCTTCACTCAAGTCCGGCAATTGAGTAATTGCAAATCAACGGGCGACAGGCGTAACATGCAATAGAGTGTAAAGCCGCATACACGCATGAAATCAAGACAAGATCCGAGAAAAGGATTCAGAAATATCTACTGACAGGGTTGCCTCATTCCGTCAATTCTCATAAAAAGGGTAACGAAGTCCTTCAGTCGGAAGGTTCCTCGCGGCTACGACGCCAGTTTGTGGCAATGGGCAGGCATGTTGGATCAGTCACACGTCTTTCAGGTCTTCAGACTGGTCCTCGTTTGCAGCATGCTTGGCGATTGAGTTTGGGTAAGCTACAACATTGCTTTGGGTAAAGTACCAAGAACCATTTTTGATTTCCCCGACATATGGTTCGGTACGGCCGGTGTCTTCAATGCACCTCCGTGTTGGACATACAGTTGACCTGCGAAGTTCGTTTGTGCGGGTGAAACTATCGTCGAGCTCCGCTACGATTGTGTCGAAGAGTTTCGAAACGTTGGATACCAGAAGATACCGCCTGCTGCTTGGGACAAGACGAGCCACCTTTTCGGTGACATCCGTGGTTTTCGGATGCTGAGACGTGCTTCTGGTTGACTCGCTCCTCAGACAGCCGAGCGAACAGGATCCAAGCAATGCATACTCAGAGTTTGTCAGGCCTTGATTCGAAAATGCCTCCTTTGAACGTGCGTGGAAGAACCAGAACAACATGGTTTGTTTCTGCGCAGTACCTAGGGCAGGGGAATCGCGTTGCATTCATCGTGCACTGCCGTGCAGGCGCTGCAGATGACGAGGAGGAGCTGCGAGTGGATGAAGACGGCAAGCTCCACGGCTGCAGCCATAGGCTGGCCCAAGGCCAGTAGCGACAGTAGCCGCCCCGCAGGGTAGAGGCCGGGTTAGGGTGGTTACAGTGACTACACGTTTCAGACTGCGGGACCGGCAGGAGCTCATGAACTCAACGCACTGTTTAGTTCTTTCAGCAGGTGGCAGCTCCGCTATCAGCCAGGAAGCCTGTCGCTCCTATCCCTTCTGCGTGGCACACGAATCATCGGCAGTTTCTTGTCTTTGCTTCCGCAGCAATGGGCCCATGGCCTCCTGAGCCTCCTGTGCCACTCACAACAGTCCGTGAAGACTTCATTGCAGAGCCTCATGGCACCGCTCGCTCCGCTCGCTCGATGGTCCTGCATTTCGCCTCAGCCCCCACTTCCCCAAGGCCACCAAACGTTCGGCCTAGGCTCTGTGTTCGGCGCCTCCAGAGATTCTCCAGCTCTCCTCTGCCCGTCTGCTGGGATTGCGACGGTGGCACCTTTGTGGTGAGTGACTGGGCGATCGACTTGTTTGTGTTGTTTTCCTGTTGTGGGGACTTTAGCACACTGCTGTCGAGGCGACGAATCTGGGATCTTCCATTGGCATTGTGTGTCTGCCTACCTTGCCTGCCTTCCTGCCTGCCTTCCTGCCTGCCTGACTGCCTGGATGGACGGACGGACAGACGGATGGATGGATGGATGGATGGATGTTTATGCGCGGATCCTGTTTCTAGGCCACGGCCTGTGGTGTACATTTGGGACTCTGGACACTTCTTGGCAAACCCAGTGTAATGAAGCTATGCCTTGGAGTGGGAAGCATTTCAGGACGATGGACTGTGTACCTGCATTGCGACAAACTAGCTAACCGTCCTTATTCGCACAACAGTTCGTTTTACACACCCTTTCACGTCGGGATCGGGGGTGTGCACGTCATTGGCTGCGCGGGTTCGCATGTGACTGTGCATGTTGCTGCATGTTCTGTTG